TTCTGCTCCAAGTGTCTTCTCCTTCCAAACATGATTCTATACTTAATAATGGGAATTACTAAAGAATATTTCTACAATGTACACCACATTTATTACAAATACCTCAAAAATACAGCTTGTACATATTTTTTATTTATTTTGTTTTTATTGCTGTGCACATCGGTGGTCACTGGGCTGGAGTCCAATTCCTTGTATTTTTGATAATTACTTTTGATAATACTTGGCAATAAAGTTTATTCCTATGCTTATGAACAGACTATACATGGCTTAGATGGCAACCTTATGGCCAACAGACACTGATGAAAAAGTTTAGACAGGTGTGGGTCTCAAAGTTCATAAATGTTCACATAATTCACAAAGTAGCCTAATTTCCTTCTGCCCTTTGCAATGCTGTATATGGCAAACTGTAGGAGGACCACGGGATGCTTTTGTGGCAGTATAATAAAACACAGTTGTTAAAATACGAAAGGTGCCTTCACATGAGAAGTTACACGTTGACACACACTATACATTATTAAGCACTTAAAATGTCCTTACAGCTGCATACAGCTAGTGTAACAGTGTGTTACTAACCATTCATTAAATGTTTGTATGCTAAATATTTTGTGCAGAGAACTTGTTTTGTTTATTTGTTTGTTTTTGGTGCTTGTAACCTTGTTTTGGGAATTAGTTGCTGATATCTTATCCTTGTGCAAGACATTTGGCTTTGACATGATAAAACCCCAGCCTCCATTCAAACTGTTAGGCGCTTGACAAATCTACGTCACTACAGCTGTTTTGTGTGGTATTTGTATAATATCATAAAGACAAAAAATGAGTCTTAATAAGAAACTATAGCCTATATGGCATGAAAAAAGATGATCTACCAGTGGACACGAGCATAACCCATTTATGCGTGGCATATACAGCTGTGATAGACTCTAGGTTTCCACTCAGAATAGGCATCTGCAGAAACTGAGATACCATCGGTCACTTTTTTAATCTTAGACCAGTAAATAATAAGATAATTCATGTTGGAAAATAAAGTTTGTTTAAATACGACGTGAAAACCCTGTTATTTTTTTTTTTGAAGGGTGGGTGACCTCAGTAGCTAAAACCAGGTTATGACCCACAAGGAGCTTGTTGACAGCCGCTCTGGGTCACTGTGTAGTCCTCTAGCGGGTCAGTATTGGAACATTGTAGGAATATTACTGGGCTGTTGACATGTATTACTGGGCGCTCTGACATGTTGACCACCACAGAGCTGTTCTCTAGGAGTGTACTAACGCCACACTGTGACCGCACGGAGTCATTTTAACACTTTGTCATCAGCTTCGTCATCACTGGCATTGCTGCGTTTCTATTAGCTTATTAGAGTCAGTCAGCCAGGAGCGGTAACCACTGGTGTGGCAGTACTGATCGCTGACTGATCGATGAGTGTGACGGAGTACCTGTAGTAGTAGATGTCGCTCTTTCCAGCGCTCAGTCCGGACTTCCTGATCACTTCTTCTTTCTTCCAGCCGGGCGGCAGAGCGGGACAGTCCGTCCTCTTCCTCTCCATCATTGTACACTTATCGATCCCGCGACTAAGCTGCGATCGGATCAGTCGATCACTCAGTAAACACCGATTAGGACACTCCTGACAAAGAGCGTGGTGGCAAACCCAGCGGAGCAGCAACCGGGGCGGACCGACGTCACGGATGTTACGCTAACGGCTGCTCTCCTTCTCTCCGCCTGCTTCTGCTAGTTACTAAGGTTTAAACAGAAATAAAATAATTCGTCCTGGTTCACACTGCGAACGGAGATGTCGGGGATAAACTGCCTTCCTGCCACTGGTTTTTGCTTAGTTTACCTCTGGACAGAACCAGTGTAGCCCAAGGTTCATCTGATTATGATCGGACCTAACTGAACTGAACTGAACCAACGGGCAGGCTGTGACGTCTGAGATATCACACACACCCTACACACGCGCCCGCGCACACGTAGGCCTACACACTCACGCACTCATAGTGATAGTGCACTATGAAAGATGAATCACTCAGCTGTGACTGAAAAAAACTGATCCATTCTGTCCAAAATACGGAAGCCGAGAGGAGTAGGGGCTACATTCTTTTAAACACTACGATCCCGTTGTTTCAAGGTGTCCTGGGATCTCTAGATAAGTTAATTTTTCATGCATCAATAACCTGTGAATAGCCTACCTCAAAGTTGAGAAAACAACTCTGTTATTCCATAGATTTCAGATAGACTCAATCAAGAAGCCAGTGATCTTTACACATTTGAGAACCAATAGCCTATTCGTCCCCTGGCCAGTAATTCAGTATTAAGGAGTGAAACAGATTATCAGCAGCTAATTTCCAAACAGATTGTTTCACTTGGGAATGGGCTATTATATCAAGATGATTAAATATATGAAAGTTTGTAAATATGTAATAATAGTTCACTGGGCCTTCAGTAGCCTGCTATAGTTGTTTGTCAAACATTTTGTGGTGTAGAGTTCTGGTCTTTCTTTTGTCATTATTACTTTATTTACATGTTTAGAAACAATACATACAAGGTACATGAGACATACATTTCTTAACTATACAATAAATGGGCTATTTAACTGAAATTAGAATAAATGAAAAAAGTCAACATCAGGTCAAAATGTTCTATATATTAATTATCAGTTGGATTTCAGGTGCCTGCAGTCCACATGTCGAAATGTCCTTGGGCAAGACACTGAACCCCCAAGTTGCCCGTGATGGTGGTGTGTATGCATGCAGCGGCCCGAGGCCCTCTGCTTCAAACAAAATTTTGTTGTACGTGTCACAATGTTACAATGACAATAAAATAAAGCTTCTTATTCTTCTTGAGATAACATTGATGACAGACTCTGATGTGTCTATGGTGCCGGATAATATTGTGTGACAGACTCTGATGTGTCTATGGTGCCTCAACTTTGTGGCACAGTGATCACTCCTTGATTTTGTTCAGTCCACCAGTGATGTCACAGGCTTT